ATATATATATATATATATATATATATATATATATATATATATATATATATTTGTTTGTTTATGATGATATTTTCTCTTTAATAAAAGACGTTATTTCATTAAATGTTGATGTCATCCTACTAACAAGTAACAACTAACTCCCAATTAAGACTTATAATACTAAAACACCCAATAAATATAGTGGAGGGGTAGGCGGAGGCCTCCAATATGTCCAATAATTGAGCATATCAATTTTTTTAGGGGTTATTAGCAATAAGCCCCTCGCTAAGAAATTGTGATATGTTCATCCCTTAAATCTTTCTTTGTGATAAATTCCTAGAAATTTTATTCATAATTCTACCCTTATGGCAATTATCTTATTTTGTCCCAATTATTCAGTTTTTCTTTATTTCCCTAACACACGTTACCTAAATCCTAAGAAACTGCTACCAAATAAAAAAAATGATTTTTTTTTTATTTTTTGTTTTTTATTATTTTTGGATTTTATTTAGATTTTTTTTTCTTTTTATTTTTTAGTAAAAGTATTTTTTTTAATTTGTTTTAAAGAAAAAAAATGATTTTTTTTAAACATAAAAAATGATTTTTTTTCCAAGAGGTTTACTACCCGAATATGACTATAGTTGAATATGACTATATGTGACCATATCAACTGTAGTCATATTCTTTTTTTATATTGTAGTTTTTTACATTTTCAACTTAAAAATTCCGATTATATAGTGTGGTACAGTCATGTTTACAAAATTATTTAAAACAACGAAGATAGACCTATTGTTTACGAAAACAATCCAATCAACATCCACACAAAAAATCACTATTTGAATCTTGTTATTACAAGTCAACTTGAAACGAGAAGATAAAACATATTCGAATATGACTACAGTCATATTCAACAATAGTCATATTCGAATATGACTATAGTCATGTTACTGCTGTTGTTCAATTCTGAAACTGTATTTTCAGATTTTGAGAAAAAAAAAATTGAAAAATACAGAAATAAAAATAGAAAAATAACGAAAGAGAGGGAGGGCAAGTCGACGACAATGGCGATGGCGGCGGTGAACGAAAGAGAGAGTAAGAGAGGCGGCGACGGTGGTGGTGAAAAAATATGGAAAAAAAACTGAGAAATCGAGAGAAATAATGAAAAAGAGAGAGAAACAACCTTACGTGGAAACGAAGGAGGAGGCGGCGGCGGCAAATGGTATCCGCACTCATACATTCTCAGATAAATAAAACGAACTCGCACAACATAACGAAAAAAATAAGAATCACAGCTCTTATCATGCCAATCCGGAAGTGTTAGTGCATAGAAACATGCTCTAGGATCCGAAATAACAAAAACTCACAAAACTAATAAAATGCAGGATAATTGAAATCTATGCATTCATAACAAACAAATGATATAACTGAAAAATTCAAATCCCAAACGAGTTTTACGGTTAATTAATTTGAGAAAAAATAAAAAATAAATTCCACCGATTAATATTGTAGATATGGGCAGTCAGCGGATGGAGAAGGGTATGCATCATTTGAATGACACTTTTAACGGAGTACCGCGGCGGCGGTTTTGGTGAAGGGCGGCGGCGGTGATTTTGGTAAAAGGCGGCGGCTGTGGTAAGAACGTGGGCGGCAGCTGTGGTAAGAACGTGGGCGGCGTAGGTTAATTTCTAGATCTCCGTTGGGTGTCTAGCCGCTAGTCCTTTGAATCCTTTACTGCCTCTGTTTGTCGACTCCTACCATCGGTGATCTTTTGTTGCCTCCTCGATTTTTTAGTGGTGGAAAGATTAGATCGAGAGTTTGAGGAAGAAGAACAGTGAAGAGAGAAAACAGATCGGCTGAGAAACCGAGAATGACGATTGGGAGCGGAAGAAAAATAATTAGGATTTTTTTTGTCTTATCACATAAGTTCATGGGGGTCTCACAAATTAAAATTGAGATTTGGGTGTAGGCAACAGTCTTTAAAGTCAATTGGGTTTAGTTCAAAATATTTTCTATTTAAGGGGGTATTGCATATTTCCCCATTTTTTTTTATGAGTATACATATCCATGTTTTAATCTCACTATAAAGGGGTTTTTGTGTATAAGTGCATGACCAACCATGTTTATTATTTAGGTTAAGGGGCATATCTCTTTCGCTAAAAAGATCATCTCGTTCATATGTATTATAAATATATGAAAAATTAATGTATGTGACAAAATTACACTCAATTCTTAATTGTAACCCCAATTTAATCAATTTTGACCACAAAAATCCAATTTTTTTTTTTACTTTTTTTCTTCCTGAATTCTTTTTTGCCGCCGGTCTCCGATGTTGACTTTTCGATTTATTTTTCTTCATGTATGTTTTTTTTCCGCGCCGGTTTCTGGCGTTGACTTTTTTTAGTTTTAGTTTTTATGTTTTACGTCGGCCGCTAAACGTTGACCGTAATTGTGTTGTCTCATTAACAGTAATTATACTATCACTAACAGTAAATTAACATAAATTAACGTAATTGTACTGCCGTTGACAGTACAATTAGAGTCAACGACAATATTAATATTTTTTTATTTTGTGTGATTTGTTGACAAGTCAATATAATTATATTACTGTCGTTGACAATAAAATAACTGTAAACACAATAATATTACTGTCAACCA